TTATGTTTCACATTTTATTCTAAGATTTCCATTTTAACACTTATGTCACCCTTTTTGATTATGCTTACTTGATCATTCCACACTTTGTAACGGCGATTATTATTTGTCTCTTAGTTTTTACTATTGTCATTATTCTAACAATTTCATTTTACTTTATATCTATCTACTTTATTTTTCTAATAATTTTTTTATTTTTTTTTATTTTATTTTCTCATTTTTTATTATCTTTTTTTTCCATCACTACTTATGTTTCTCATACCTTGTTATCTGGTTATTTCTTAGCCCTGATGAAGAAAATAATCGGCATATGTAAAAATAAATATTATCATTTATTTTTGCCTTCTATTTTTACTGACCCCCTCCCCTCCCAACTATTCTTCTCTTCATTAAATATCATAGCATTTGTTAAAAACAAAAAAGAAATTTGTGCTAGTCTTAAAAAAAAGGAATAATTTCTACGATTAATAAAACGCTTCTGATTCTGCTGGGAGATATAATAAAACAGGATCAAAAAGACTTCGTCGTATTATAGTTGGATAACTTAAGATTTGTTATTTATAAAAAGTGAATGGCTTCAACGCATCATAACCAACCTATATTTTATTTACGAAAATTCTCGGAATGGAGTGTTTTAAATTATAATTACAGTAGAATTGTGAATTATCAAAGAATATCTTCTTTTTTAAAAACGGAATTTCAGTTTTTTTTTAAGAGATGTTCTTGATTCATTAAAAATAATTAGGATCTTAAAAAAATAATTAAGGAATTACCAGTCCTCCTATTAATGGTTTAAGGCACGGTTTTCAGTTTAATAAAAGTCAATGTTTCGTTCACTTTGTGGTTTCCCCTTAAAAAAAAAAAAGAAGAAAAAAAGAAAAGATTAAATGATAATTATTTCAACTTGGTCAAGGGATTTTACTTTTTCATAAACAAAATAATTAAATTAGAACTTGACTGGACAAAGAAAAACGAAAAATAAAATATATGTACCGTTTTAATGGCTAAAAGAATAATACGAAGCACTTTTTAATAACTGAAATATTACTATGTAAACGTGCATTTTAAAATGCATTATCAATATAGGAAAAACAGCAATAGGTATTTTTTTATAAGAAGGGTATCTTATTAACAATATTTTTATAAAATAAATGAATACAATAAAATGCAAATAAATTTGAAAGTAGTAACACAATTTTTTTTTTTTTTTTAACTTTTATTGAGTATTAATACAGTCTGCCACACTGAAGGTCATTGGTACTAGGGCTATAGCATTCATTCACACAATATGTACATAAGAAAGGAAAAAAAAAATATATGTATATATATTTACATTAACATTGCATTTATATGTTGAGGGTTATATAGGACCCAGCTCTGTAAGAGGTAATATGCACCCTTCATACATACCACGCTCGTTGCTTGCCCGGAAGCTGGGGCGTCGACCATTTGTCAGCACATGGCTCCCTGGAATGGATGGACAATACGCCTTCAGCTTCTTCCGTTTGTTTCATTGTTTGGAAATCGTTTTGTTTAATTTATCGTTTCCTGAAAGGCACTCTTCCCCTCCACGATTATGCAAAGCACCTCCCACCCTGTCTCCCCTTCTTAGTATCGTTGTGTGCATTAGATCCTTTTAAATGACCCACATAAAACCAGGGGCACTTGTTTGTAGTCAGCCCCCTCGGGTAAGTATGAACTTAACATTCAGCCGTTCTTTTATTTATTGCATCTAATTTATGGGCCGGACTTAATCGCTGATAAATCCGTTTTTAAATGTTGTTTGTCTAGGAGGCTCTTTTACATCTGTTACCTCCCTTTGTCACAGGACCAATCCTTTATGTTATACTTTTTATTTTCACTTTCTCTTACCCAAATATGAAATATATTCTAAAGGAAAGTATTGCGATCGTGAATAACGTCTTCATAGTCCAAATAACCATGTATCGCAAAATGGTCTGTATGAGTGTATGTGTGTGTATGTGAACAGTCATACTTAAAAATGAAAAATAGTACATAACTGAAATACGTATTACTGAATGATTTTAATAAGTCTAGAATATTACAGCACCGTTTTCATTTAAATCGCTTTAGCAGGAATGCCTCATTATGTTACTGATTTCGCACAATTTTAAACTCAAAAACGGCTTTCGATTAAACTGATTAGGTCATGAGTTCATGTATTTTATTGTTGTTTTTTTTCAATTACCCTCTTTCTCGCCATTTATGGCATACTGACGAGGATGGGGGGTGGTTCTAGAGTTACAACCAAAACTACTTTAACCAAACTAGGAAGGTCGAGTTTCATTCCGTGGGTCCACCACAAAATATATTTCAAACCGCCCAGCCCGGATTCGAACCGGCGCACACTAGGCCGAGTTGAGGCTACTATTGGACAATGGGAGAGAAAAATAAGTTCAAATTTGGATGTTTGGCAAAGTAATATCATTTTCACTTCGTTTTTAACAATTTTCTTATCGCACTAATGATGTCCTGATGTGAGATAATATAAGAAGACATGAACCATCTTATATATATTTAAAGCTGGTTTCCCTGTATGTTTTGTTCAGACCTAACACTGGACAGAATTAGGGACTTCCAATGAATCATAAGACGGCTGAAACACCGGTTTTTAAAAATAAACAAACATGTTACGACACTTTAACCAATTGCAAGCAATTTTGGTTCTTTTCGCAAATCATCCGAGAAAATACATAGACAGCATTAAGAAAGGTTTGAACTTTAAATAATAGTTTTCAGGGTTTGCCCTAACCTCCCACACTGGAAGTTATTGAGCACTTAAAACGCGGGAATTTTGAATTTGGAGTGACTACCAATAATTTTTATTTATTTAAATTTTTAATAGTGTATTCCAGTTACTTACCACCCAGCTTTTTGGCTAAATTATACCTAATTGTTTATACTAACCAAATTAAATCATATCACGAGTTCAATAACTGGATTTCAAAATATAAAAATAAACAAGATAATAATCTTTATTATTACATAAATCTAACTTTATATATTTATATTTTATAACGACATATCATACATGTCGTTATGAAATAGGTAATAAATTATACAATACCTGAGCAATCTAATGTTTACAATACAAACTACAGGAAATTTATTTTAACAATCTATTGTTACTCTTTACAATATTTATGTTACTTAAAATAGTTATACTTCCAATACTTATATTGCATGAGATAAATATTTTGCACGAAACATTCACCTTTTAACATAAAATATCTGGTATAAATAGCAATTGATAATTGAGCAATAACAACAAAATATTATGTTCGTAGAATATTTGTTTTAAAGAATTAAAATGAAAAGAGAACTTTTTATCACATTTCAAAATATTGTTAACAATTGAATAAATACAATATTTTATTTTTGATAGTCAAAGAAAAAAATTGACTAAGTTTATCAGTATACAGGTTGAAATTATTTATTTCCTATAAATCTATGTAGCCAATGATTGATAATAGAAGAGACATCTTTAAAAAGCTGTTAATCGATCCTGATTATAAGTGTATAATATCGGACGGTTTGCGAAAATTTCTAAAAGTAAATTAGAAAGTGAGTTTAAAATTATGTTTAATAAATTACATATATATATATATATATATATATATATATATATATATATATATATATATATATATATATATATATATATATATATATATATATATATATATATATATATATGTACTACAATAATATTCATATGTACTCGCATAATTTTAAACAGAAAAAATATTACCAACATAAAATAACAATTGATATTTTATTATTTTGCTTTTGATACTATATCTTAAATCCTATATCTGGTCGTCTTCATGGCTTGATATCAAATTTAATACCTTCAAAAACATAAAAAATTTGAGCAATAGAATTTCCGAGTAATTTAGAGCCGATGTCCAAGAAACGTTATGCTCGCCAGACAGAGCTCAAATGGCTGTTAAAATATTTCTACTTCTAAAGTACCTCTGAGTTAGTTTATTTGAAATAATCAGCTATTGCATTCTATAACTAATACTTAATTATAGTACTAATAATTAATTATATTACTAATAATTAATTAGTATAACTAACAATTTATATAGGATAAAAGGAATTATTTGGCTCATCACATAAAGTTTTAAACAATTGCATTGTGATTGATAAGATATAATCAAATATATCGCAAACCATTGAAACTAATTAATTACTTATTACTCTAACTGATAATTATTTGTACAATTAAATTTGATTTCAAGGAAATTTCAATGAAGAAGGACAATGATTTTTTTTATGCTTGAATGTTTCATTAGTTTGACCGAATTGAAATTGTACGCAATATATTATCTCTCTGTTGTTTATAATTTAATTACATTAAGGGCTTTCATATCTGCTGTTTTATTAAATTTATTTGTTTGTCGTCGAGACAATTGTTTTCATTCTTATAAATGACTTTGTCCTTTTTTATTATTCCTAGCAAACGTAATTGTATCGTTAATAATGCTCATATACAGGTTTGGCTGGGGTGAAATAAAATTCCTGCTTTATGAAAGTACATTTTTTACATGAAAATTCTCATATAAACCAGATAATACTTTTAGAAAACTTATTTAGTTATCCATAAGTTATTATTTGTTATTTTTAAAATAGTCTGTTGAAATCATATATGGTTTTATTGCATATCGTATGTAAATGTTATTTCAATATCTCATTTTTATACTACTATATATTTCGCTTCATGAAATAAAAACCAGATAGTTCGTAGTTTCTCACCATAGTTTACAGTAATGTTAGAACAGAACAGACTTGTCCATTGTTAAGATTACTATAGCATCAATTATTATTTACGATTGTTCTTTTTGAAATATAAAATCCGTCTGACATTATCTTATCGATAAAAAAAAAAAACGTTAATCAGGTGAGGAATCAACAATATAATCATCTATTTTTATTACTTATATCATTTAATAAGGTATTTGCTTGATAGATAAGGTTAATTCTGGTAAAAAGATCATAAATCCATATAAAACTATAAGAATAAAAAAAAATTGATATCTAATTCATTCCATCTCAGTTGAAAATGTGGTGGTCCAGGTTAGTCTTATTGTTTACATTATATGTCTTCTGCATCACTCAAAGTTTTGCATCTGATGAAGAAATTTTGGATGATTCGAAGAACGAGATTTACGAAAAACCTATCAGAAACAATCACGGTAAGTTCCATTTTTTTAAATACTCCTTTCTATCTAAATCTTTAGAAAACTTCTAAATAATTTATAGGACGAAAAATTTCAGATTGCATATAATTTACTAATTCTCTATTTAATATGTAATTAAAAAGTAATATTACACATTGCAAAAAAATATTTGTATAATAAAGTACAATATTTTAATACTATGTCTATTTCGAGAGACTAAAATTATTCTCCTGGATTTTAAAATCATTTAATTTCAAATAATTACTTTTTATATTTCATATTCTTTATAAAAAACATAAATTCAAATCCATAATTGTTTTTTCAACCATTTAAAAATAAATAGTTACTTAAAAATTTACTAATTCCTGATGAAAATTAATTTGAACTAATTTAATTATATTTTAAATAGCAATTTCTTCGAGTATTTAATCGATCTAAGCTCTTCAGTATAATCCCGCATGTCTCCTTATAACATTCAATAGATGGATGGATCGTACCTCATCTATAACTGTTTTTTTCAATTGGAGTATCTATTGATATTGTGATTAGCAATATTATTAATGGTTAGATGACCTAACTAAATATATTTGGATTAATAATATAATTATTTTATTATTTTGGTTATGAAATGTTAAATTTTATATTTTTAGTCTACCCGAGATCTTTATTTTATTCGTGCAAATGTTTTGCTACTAAGAAATTATATTGAATATTACTAAGATTTATTGATATATCAGTTAACCATAAACAATTTAAATCTTAGGTTTAGCTGATATCATATCAGACTCAATTTATTTTATTTTTAATCAATACATATAAAATTCCTTTTTTTATTTTTTTTTATTTTGCTGTTATCATGCATTGAAAGAATAAAAATAGGTATTTAAATCTTGCGCAATGAGTGGCTAATAAGATACAAATCATAGCTCAGAATTTATATTAGGTTATGCTGATTTATATTTTGAGGGATTTAACTGTTGTTTTAAATAGGATGATGATTTTATGAGGAAGATCCATCCGACTCGTGACAAGATTTATTTTTTGGTTGTAGATTTCTGTTTGTTCATTGAAACCAGTTGAATGAAATCGGGTTCGGTTGCTGTCCTAAAACAGCCCTAAAAATTCCAAGTATTGTTTCGAGTCAACTTTATGCAGTACAGTTGTTGAACTCTCCACTGAAATTCCAGATTGGATTTGGCTTCTAAACGAAGTTTCCAGTTTTATATTAATTGCCTTAGCGACACTAACAAATTTATCAATGTTGGAGAGGAATTTAACGCCGAGCGATATTAAAGGCTTTAACACACAGAATGCGATGTGTCTCAGCGATACGATATTCCTGTAGGCGGCGATATTGTGGTGTTATTATCTACATCATTATAGCAGTCACATAGAGCGCGATAGCATGCAGCGATGCCTACAAAGGATATCGTATCTGCGGGACATGTCGCATACTTTGGGGTTAAAACAAGTTATTATATTTTTAAGCGAAATAAAACAGTAACAAAGTGACGGTAGCCTACCTTTGTAAATTAATTTGTATTTATTTTCATCTCTTACGTGAAGTTTGCGTTAAGTAGGAAATGTTTTACATCATTAATTCGAATGAACGGGATGGTGAATTGAAATTATGACTAATAAGAATTCAAAGAATGTCTAGTCAGGTCCGCGATTTTTTCCCTACGGTTCATCAAAAGTATTTAAACAAATAAATAATTTTAAACATTTTATTCTAATAAATTAAACCGAATTTTATATGTTGGGTGTTTTTGTCCTAATATATTTTTTTTTTATAAAAACATTTAAAAATTTTACATTTTTTGTATTAGAATTAGAACTCAGTTGTAGATTTTGGTTCTAGCCAAACAGTGCAGCGTGAAAACATATTGCCCGGAAGGCCACCATTGTTGCTCAGCCGCAACCTGCTGCCCAGATAATGTTGACTGTTGTGCTGATGGATTGTACTGTTGCGATTCAAACGAGGAACCGTATGTACCGTTATTATTTCAGTGAAGCATATTTCTAAATTTTATTTATTATTTATTTATTTAATTTTGTAGGACCAAACCTTCAATTAATGCGATGAAGCCAGAAATAGAGGGGATTGAGAAAGGATTTCTCTGAAGGTCTCGGTCCATATTTTAATGCAATAAAATTTTTCTGATGTGGTGAAATTGTTATTTCCACAGGTCTATATTCCAAAATCTAATTATTAATACTCACATTTTAGCGACAGTTTCATCAGGCAGAACTAAAATAAAAATAAAATAGAGATGGAATGTTTGAAGGTGAACTTAATATTCTTGGCGTATCATAATAACTTATTTTACATGTAAATTATTTTTGTTCTATCAATAAACAAGTTCGTATCAGTTTACTTTTTAAGATATCCTTATGTTTTATCAATTTGATAAAAACCTTTGAATAATCTCCGTATGTCCACATTATATACTGTTTAATTTTCGTGAATACTTGAATAATAAAAATATTGAATGGATTACTGTTTGCAAAGTGTTAATGCCGATATCTCCACTTTCTGTTTAACAACTTCCATTTACCGACTGCGGCACAGTGGTTCAGAAAAAGAAAAAAACTTAGATTTATAGTCATACTTTTTGTACTAATAAAGTGCATAAAAAAAAAATGTCCGTTTTATCAAATTCAAGATTTCGAAGGACTGTAAATATTTTAATCCTAATTAATACTTACCAATACTTAATAATCTCATAGAACCATTCTTTAAGCATGTTTAATCCCAGTCGACGTCTTAAAAAAAAGCCCCAGTTTAGTTATTGTTTCAAAGAAGAAACATGATCCATGAAATTCTCATCATTTTAAGGAATTACTGAGAAAAAAATTTCAGAGCCGCTGAAGCAACTCATTAAATTATTAAATATGAAATGGAAGGTGTCGTTGGCCATCGCCTTGCGCGGCGTTGCCGTGAAAAATTTAGAAGAGGAGATACGAGGTTAGAAAGGAAGGAGTGCTCCAATTGCCAATTACTGGATATTGATTAGGTTCTGCAGGAAGCTGTTGCTGTTGCATGCAAATCCATCCACAAGTACTCGTGAACTTGCCGCGGAGTGTGTTGTGTCGAAAAACACTGTAAGTCGCCATCCACTCTCTATGGGGAAGGTGAAAAAGAGCAGTAGACTGGTCCCTCACGAACTTACGCCTCAGCAATTAGCTAAGAGGTTAGAAATTCGTGAAACGTTATTGAAAAAACCTTGCCTGAAGAATTCATGCCTCTTCCACCATATATTCCAGACCTCGCACCATCGGATTACTACTTATTTAAATCCATTGCCTATTTTCTTCAAAGGAAAAACATAATTTTAAGGAAGTTGAAATTGCGGTTCAAGAGTTGTTTGACTGCCATCATAAAAATGGTATCAGCGTGGGATTCAGAACTTAGCCCGCAGATGGCTTATGACGATAGATAACAATAGACTATTCTTTGAGTATTAATTGTATTTTATATCAAAGACATAATAATACAAATATTTGGTTGAGAAAAGATAATTTTTTCTTATACATCCTATTATATTATTTTTCTTTAATATCCTTAGAACGTAGAGCAATAAATATTTTCTCCAGTTTCCTTTCTCAATAAGCTCTTAAAAATACAAATTCAAAAACAATTGACAGATTTTTGAATACATGTTTTTTATTACTTAATAAGAGAGAAGTTATTGTTATTTTTAAGTGACTTATCTCCTTAAATCGGGAGAGGAGAGGAGTGTCACCAGAATGAGCCAGTTGTACTGAGAATAATCAGCCTTGGCTAAGGTTACGGTAGGGCAGCCATGGGTTGGATGGATGACTCAGCAATCCCAAAGAAGATTTTAACTGAGATGCTTCATGGAACACACGGATGAGGATGACCAAGATTTAGATGTCAGGATGGTGCGGCTCACGATACCTCCTTGGGACTCAGAATTGCAAAGCGGCATGCACAAGAACGTGCTATCTGGCCTAGACTGATCCAGGGGGCTAAGACTCGATAGCAGGCGAAACCGCTGAAGAATAACAGAAAATACTCAAGCATATGTTACCATCAATATTCATATATTTTTTGGTACATATTACCTTTATGGTGGTATTTTCTACTAAGTAGATTTGGCAGGACAACTGAAAGAAAATTGGCTTCTTTCAAACTCTTAACTCAAGCTTCTTTGGAAAAAATAATTACCGCTATTCTCTTACTCATCCTCCGCTGGTTTAAAATACCAGTGAAGTGGCTGAGGGAGAGGCGTAGGGATCTCCTAAGCCTCCCTTTTCCCTCCACATGTGGAGGGGACAGGATTGGTTCGGAGATCACCTGGCAAATTGTAAATAATGTATATAGGTATGTTTTATATAAGGTGTTTGTTTTATTTTTATTTCCATTTTTATTTACTTATGTGTATATGTATATTTTTTTTTTCTTTACTCTTTTGTTCTTTTTTCTTATTCTTTTGTTATTACTTTATTTATTTATATTTTTGTATATACGGTATGAATGCAATCTCTGAACTCTATTATAAGTGTCCTTAAACTGTGACAAATAGTAATATTTCTGAATAAAGTGTTTTAATAATAACTAAAAAAAAAAACCGCTATTCTATTTCGATTCTAGCGTTATTGAACGTCTTATAATGTACAATCAAACTAGATTTATTATTTTCTTCTTATCCTCAATCAGAAGATTATAATGTTTCTGACAGTCAATGTAATCATAAGTCTTTTTGAATAGATTTTTTATTCTCCCAGAGTTCTTATCCAAAAAACATATTTTAGATTGCCCTTGGTCGAATCTCAGTATTACGGCTTCTATATCCAATTAGCCATTAGATGTAATCTTGAACGAGAAACAAGAAAAAACTTTTTTAAATGAAATATGTTATCGTAGCTGATGTTTTAAAGGAATGTCATAATAAAAGTAAATAATAATTTTCAAAAGAAATGTAACAAGGGCACTTCACATGTTAATAAAACAAGCTAGCCAGTTGAAAAAGATACAAAAGTAAAAAGGTTGTAAAAGTATATCTTATTCCGAGAAATGATAAGAAATGAAATTGTAACTCAAGTTATCGTCCGTTTCAATCAAGATTTTTAAACAATTTAAAAATTATCTATATAGTCTAAAAATTTTTTATACCAAAATTTAACTGATTAGACTGGTTCACAATATTAATATATACAAGATTATATCGGTCCAATTGAAATAATTTCAAAAACACGATCCTTTGTTGTTCGAAGGAATCAAAGAAGTAGACTGACTTGATGTGTTGCAAATTTTTTTCGTTATCTGTTCTATTTACAAAGTTTAAATATCGCACACTAAGTGATTTCTTTGACTCTCCGACACAAAATATTTTCTATCATTTACTTTGATAATGCCAATAATTCCTCAAACAGATAAATTACAATATCTTAGACTGACATTTACCAGAAAAATTACTTGTCATATCAAAAAAAAAAAAAAACACAAAAAAAACGATTTGTTTATTTCAGACTTAAATTTTTGTACTTACTTCTTTCATGACGCTCAAAATTAAATTTAAAATATAAACTGAATACTTACATTATTCTCCTTAAGTTCATTAGGACCTATGCCACATACCAAAACTACAAACGTTTCAGTCAAAATCTTTCAAGTTTATAATTGATTAATTAATAACATGGAAATAATAAGACACTTATACTAGATGTGGGCTACAATTAAAATGCCCAAAAACACACTTAGGAGGTTTAATCGAAGCTAAATAAGGGATTTTCTTGCTAAAAATTACACTAAAACCAAGGATAGAAAGAGATGCCGCTGCGCACTCCTCACTCCGATCAATGGAAATATGATTATACTTTTCGACAACAGACTCGAAAAAAAAACGGTCTGCCAGTGTAGCTTCCTCACTATTTTTATTGGTTCCAGAGATACCTATATCTTAAGGTCTACTACTACTAATACTACTTTTACTTATACTCACATTTCTTCTAGGTTTGAGCGAACGAGCAGGTTTTTGAAATATCAGCATATCTTAGAAAATATATTTGAGCATGAGCAACCGGAAGTACTTTACAGAATTTAATAAAATCGATACATCATTATTGCACCAATTCCCACCTTTCCTTCAACTTTGTGCCCTATCAATCGAGCTGTTACTGGAACATTGGCATATCTAAGAAAATACATTTGCGGACGTGCAACCGGAAATACTATATGAAATTTAATGAAACTGAAAAAGGACCATATATGCACCAACCCGCACAATTTCTGAAGAATTCATGAAAATAAAATAAACGGTAGTTGGTGATATGCCCGTCATATCGATTTGACTAGACAAACATATACCGAACTAATTTGATCTTTAATGTCTAAAACTTAAAAGAATAGCGGACATTTTCGAAACTGATCCCAAATTTTATTTTAACCTCCCACACGAATACAAACCTTCCCTACCTTTGGTAGTGAGGAAGCAATAAAATGAATTACTACCATTATTGTTTCTTTTATTTACTTATTATACATATGAAAATACTTTTCTATAATTAATATATATTTTTGTTATGTGTAATTATTTAAAACTATTTTAAAACAGATTTAACTAGTTCTGCCATAAATACTATTACAAAAGTTATACTTTGTTTACATCCTTGGATATTATTTAGATAATCCTTACCTCTATCAGGTTATTTTCTATGCACGTCAGGATAATAAATCTAATTAGTTTGTATTTTCCTTTCTCTCAGTTAACATGGAGTGGTGTGATAGAGAAAACAGAATAGCTGTGATCGCCTTACACAAAGTTAGAAAATATAGGTCAGAGATTTTCAACACTTTGATACCTTTGCGTATCAGTCGTATGTTCGTGTACCGCACTATAAATAGATATTAAGAGACTCCATCTGTATGTGACAGACATCGACCGGACCTATGTATTATCGACCGTCCCAGCAGAAATCCCATTCGGAAACAACAAATCATGTCTCGAGAAATGGGAACCTCTGTCAGATCAATGCCTCGCATAATAAATAGTGACCTTAACAAATAGGACAAAGGTTAACTACTTCCCTAAAAAAAATTATAGTGGATAGATGCAAAGTGTGCCTTGGCCGTTACACCAATGATCTTCATCGAAAAATTTTGTTTAGAGATGAGAACATTTTTACAATTGAACAAAAATTTAATTAAAAAAATGATCGTGTGAACAAAGAGCTCTCACAGAATTCCAGGAAGTCATTGTAAGGGCAGAAAGAGGTCTATACCCTTCCTCAGAGATGGTTTGGTGTGGGCTTGCTTTGATCGCAAGAAAAAGCTTCATTTTTGTGAGAGAAAAAAAAGAGTTAAAACAGCAGCTAAAAACCATCAGGAGGGTATTTTGGATCATGTTGTCAAGGCTCTTAATG